TTTGACCTTTGACCTTTGACCTTTGACCCCCAGCTTCGACATCCAAACTCGTTTTCGAATTACCCCCCACGTCCCGAATATCGTGACCGTACGTCGAGCGGTTAAGATTTGTGCCCAACTGTTGACGGACGGACGCACGGACGCACGGACGGACGCACGGACGCACGGACGGACGCACGGACGCACGGACGCACGGACGATCATGCGATTCTACAAGCTGCATCTGACTATGTCAGATGAGCTAAAAACGAGAAGACACACTCAGGAAATGGTTCTATACAAAATTTAAAGCACGTTGCCTACCTTACATAATACGAAGAAGCGCTATAATAGGAAGACGATATAGGAATGTTCTCAAGATTCCGATTCTGTACATTTTGTTGTTGCCATTGTATGGCCCTAGTATCGCGCATGAGAAACAGTGTATGGTGTCAAACGAATAATATTCATATATAATTTTGTTGAAATTATAAACATGTTGTGACCACACAGGATACACAAGGACTAGCTAGATATGAGAAATGTTGATCGCAGTTACTGATTTCAGTAACTACAACGTAGAGAATATTCCAAAACTCATTAAAATGTGCGATTGATTAGAGAGACTTGTCAATGCGCATATCTACTCACTGCTAAAGGAAATCGCATTTTGTAGTAATTATGTATTTAAAAAGACGGGACATACTCAGGAATAGGTTTCTATAAAAGGTGAAGGCACATTGCCCTCCTTTAATGAAAGCGAACCCAATCCTCCTAACATCCCAATTATCCCAATATCTCATGGGAACGATATAATTATCTCGAGGGAACGATATAATATCTCGTGGGAACGAGATAAAAAATAGATTTTCCCATGTCCCTTCCCGGGCTCCGTACATAAGACACTCACATCTCCCACGCAACCGGCGGAGGAGAACATTGATTGCTGCACGCGGAACCTGGGAACACAACGCAAGGCATACGAATAACTAACTACACGATCACAAGCCATCGCGTGCAGCATCATTTGGCGTTAGTGACCAGGGATATCAGTGACCTCGTATCACTTGATATCGTACGTCGGGTGACGTCATTCATCCGACACCGAACGTCATTGAGCGTCGCACGCGCGAAGAGCGTTTAATATCATCTCTCTTTATATGGGCCTGCTATAACTATGGCCCTGCTCAAACATTTGACATGAAAAACCTTCATCCCAATCCCTCACTTATCGTTATATGATTACAAGTTTTCTTGAATTTCCATAAAATCGTGAAGCATAATGGGATGTGTTTACGCATGTCCAATATACATAAAAACTAATTTTGATTGTGATTTTGTTCGAATCATTAATTAAAAATATAGACCACATACTAGCGAGTAGCTTGCCATAATTGTTTTTTTTATCAGGACCCGTGACTTCCAGACAAGCTGCTCATAGATTTTGGCATGAAAGAACGACAGCTAATATACATAAATAATCATTGAATGCATATACCAAATAATAGAATAAAATCATTCATTTAGGCTAGGGCCTCAGACACGGAGACTACTTACTTTTGATTGTGCGTATTATGCATCTGAATTTCGGAAACTGTGTGTATATAATTTTTCTCATGATAGTGTATTTGCATGCTAGTGCAGCTTTTCCTAAACACAACGACGGATCAAGTAAACTAAGTCACATTCCCAATCATGACGTAAAACTGCAATTTCATGTAGATCTTTACTCTATGTATCTCGTCGGTGTATTTTATTATTTTATACGTCGTACATAATAAATCATTTAAAGAAATCAAAAGGGCAAACCTACCGCCAGTGAAAGCACCGTAGGTTCTTCTATACACAACAGAGATTCGCATTTACATGCACTTGTAAGGGTTTATTCCCGGTTGGCCTACTCCCATTTTGCCTACAGCAAAATTCCCAGTTTATTGACCTTTGACCTGTGACCTCCAATTTCGGCACAGTGATGGCTTTTCCTACCATGATGCTATACACCGACTATCACGAGCCTAGATCGAGCCGTTTAGATTTGTGCCGCAATTCTGCATTTCCTCCCCAGGGGCGGATCCAGGGCTGAAGCTAGACAGTATTTTTCCAGATTTTAAGGGCACACCACCCCACAGTGGGCGCCGTCAGGCGCGGAAGCACATGGCGGGGGGTCTGGGAGGCCTCCCCCCTGAAATTTCAAAATTTCAAGGGTCACTGGGCACAAAAATGAGCACCATTTGAGCACACATTTAGTCAAGCAGCAATAGCTAAAAACCATTTGGAATTTTATTTCTGCTTCATTTTGCCTGCGCTTTGCATACCAGCAATTAATGCAGAATGATTCAAGCACTTTCTTTTTCAGATATAAAAGCTAGTTTTGTTACCATGTAAAGTTTCTATTTCCTTCAAGTCCTGTCAATGAATCAGAAGAAAAAGAAAACAAATAAAGAATATAGCCAAATTCCATCAAATTGTTTTCTGTATTTTTAGCGCAAAATTTCGAAGGGCACTTTGAAATCTAGACCGTATTTCCCAATACGGCAAATACGGTCTAAATCCGCCCCTGCTCCCTATACCTTAAGTTAAGGAGGGAATGTTCCCCCTTCTTTTACACCCCTTGACCTCCAGCTTCGATATCCCAACTCGTTTTCGGATTACCCCCCTCCCCCCCCGTCCCGAATATCGTCGCCATACGTCGAGCGGTTAAGATTTGTGCCCAACTGTTGACGCACGCACGCACGCACGCACGGCCGGACGGACGGACGAACGATCATGCGATTCTACAAGCTGCATCTGACTACGTCAGATGAGCTAAAAAAATACGGGACATACTCAGGAATACGTTTCTATGAAAGGTGAAGACACATTGCCCTCCTTTAATGAAAGCGAACCCAATCCTCCTAACATCGCAATTATCCCAATATCTCATGAGAACGATATAATTATCTCGTGGGAACGAGATAGTATCTCGAGAGTATAAATAGTATCTCTAATTTTTTTTTAAATAAAACAAAAACAAAAAAACAACAACGACGGATCAAGTAAACTAAGTCACATTCCCAACCATGACGTAAAACTGCAATTTCATGTAGATCTTTACTCTATGTATCTCGTCGGTGTATTTTATTATTTTATACGTCGTACATAATAAATCATTTAAAGAAATCAAAAGGGCAAACCTACCGCCAGTGAAAGCACCGTAGGTTCTTCTATACACAACAGAGATTCGCATTTACATGCACTTGTAAGGGTTTATTCCCGGTTGGCCTACTCCCATTTTGCCTACAGCAAAATTCCCAGTTGGCCTACTCGCAATTCGTCTACGCTCAAAATCTACCCCATTCCCATTTCGTCTACGATCGGTTTGTTCACTAAATAATCATTTATAAATAATAAAATATCGTTTTGATTGGCATACATAGACTACAGGAACCAGAAGAAAAACATACGTACAAATAATGAGAGCACAACTTGACAAAAATAGAAAATACAGTAGCATATAATGGGAGTAGGCGAAATGGGAATATTGCCGATTCTGAGAGTAGACGAAATGGGAGTAGGCGAAATGGGTGTAGGCGAAATGGGAGTAGGCCAACTGGGATGTTACCCTTGTAAGTACCGTAGCCCAAATTACAATTAAAGTCTCGACTAAAGGCTGGGGACATGATTATCACTGATAGCCCGTTATACGATAGCTGTATATATGATATCCAGACGGGCCATCAGAGAGCCAATACAACAAAAACCTGTATACGTGTCGCGTCGCATATGTACAATAATAACATTTACAAACGCTTCGACGCGCCGACACGCGCATAAAAATCCGTCGTTGATCGCGACTCAGTCATCATACTGTAACTCACAATAAATTCTTTGGACGAGAATTATTACAAATGGAGAGAAAAATATGAATAACTCACTCGTACACGCATAGCACACACCAACTAGCGTGTAGAAACAGATACATCGTGCATCACGCTCCACAATCAGCAGAATCCGTCAGTTCGTCTCCGACGCAGCGGGATAAGATCAGCGAGAACGAATTAATTTTAAATCACGTAAACGATCGCGGACGAACGTCGATGATGCATCAAGGAAACGGTGAACAATGATTCCTCGTCCCCTTACCGCAACCCTACTAAATCAAAAGCCATATCGCGAACGCTATCATTACTACCGCAAATCCTAACGACAACCTCAAGCCATGCCCAAACAAGAATCACCCCAATCAGTAATCATACGACAGTTCATTGTTTACAAATCCCCTCTTCGTCTACGAATAGCACTGTTATCGCGAGAGCGCTGGCGATTTTTTTCACAACCACCACGACTCGACATCAGCCCACTGGCAGTTCCAAACAAATCAGTAAAAATAAATATAATCTCCTGATATAATGTATAATAAATCTTATTGCACCACTACTAACTCTCCTATCTGCGGTAAACAACTCCTCACTGCAGTAGTGGTGCAATAAGATTTATTATACATTATATTTATTTTTACCGATTTGTTGGAACTTCCAGTGCATCAGCCGAGCACTACGAGCAGCACGGGGGGGGGGGCATTTCCGGGAGGCGGGATTGGAGCGTGTTACCATGAGCTAATAATATATTCAAGAGCTAATAATACCAATAGAGGTATTATTAGCTCTTGATTTTAAACATCTGGGATCCGGAAAATTTCAGATTAATTTTGGAATGTAAATTTATGGAAAATAAAGAAACTGGAAATTGCGAATTTATTTAATTGGAGAGTGGGACACGGCGCATTTTTTTTACCTGGGAAACTGGGAATGGACCCCCCCCCCGCACGCACCCCCACCCCCGCTCCCGTTCCCGCACTTACATCCTATATGTAAACGATGACAACACTTTTTCGGCGTCTTTGGTTGAACAACACCTGTACGCGATACAACGGTTCACATCCCTGTGACTATTTTATACCCTGTCGATCTGAATGTATCTAAATGGACGAAAAATCCATGAGGGGAACCTGCATCCTTTCAATTTTCACGATTTTACATAAGAGTCATCAATATTGTGGTCCCCGCTTTATCGGGATAGATCGGGTCCGAACCAAGAGAACGTCCCGATTAAGCGGTGGTCCCAAATAAACAGTGAACATATAGGCCTAGTAAAGCGTATAAGGATTTTTTTCAAAAACACGTCGTTCTAGCAATGTCCACGTTTATCCGAGACCAGATTAAGCGGAGACCACAAGAGAAACCTATAATTAGTGCGAACCTAACAAGGGAACTAAATATTCCAGTGTTGCTCATTAAAACATTCAACATATATTCAATGAACGGATAGTAAAACGTAAAATACTGCGACACTACCATATAACATTACCGATCATTTTTAACGTCAACCATTTTACATATCAATTCATAATTAATTTCCTACGCAATCAGATAAGCATCAGCCTCGAAGCGTACGAATCAATTTGCATGTACAGTAATAAGCTTCCTGTTAATCTTCATTACCCACACAATACACATATAATCAGGAGTCTATCAATATTGATAGACTCCTGATATAATCAGGAGTCTATCAATATTGATAGACTCCTGATATAATAAAGGTCGTCACTACGCGTTGCCATACGGTAGTGTGCAGTACGGTTAGCATACGCCTCAGCTCACACTAGACGCACAGTCATGCATTTGATGCGAAACTTCACAATGCGTACATGCATAAATAACCGATACTGTTAACACGTCGTTACACAGTCAGCTATATAAGTAGAGCTATAATAATTAGTCAATTTTTCTTTCCATTCATTTATTTACAAGGCAGATATATAGGTCGTCTGGAATCTTTCTATGAAACTGTCCAACAATTGTAGACAATTTTTCCTCTGTGGTATTTCGTGTATGAATGAACCTTATGCAACAACCACATGATCCCCAAACGCCGACGCGCATGCGCAATGAAGATGCTGTAGCATAGCCTTCGGCTCTCGTAATATAGCTGCCGTACCTGTTTCCTGTACGAAAAACACACCAGAGTTCTTTACTAGCGTTTAACAACATTTTATGGTCGGCAGGCCAAACGTACGCAATGATTATTGCGCTATCTCGCACGCAACGCACGACTCTACTTCCAGACTTTGAGCTGAGACATACGGTAACCAGTAACCGTACGCGTAGTCATTCTATAATAAATGAGAATAAAACGTTAATATTATACTATACACTTTCACAATAAATCATTTACTCTTTCACTCAATTAGTACGAGATTCAATGGTTCGTGGAAATATATATTTACAACATCGACACACTACAGTTGACACATATCACAACATCAACGCAGTTTAGTGTCTGTTACATGAACCGCTCGTCAAAACAACTCGCTGGATTATTGTACCCAACACCCTTGCTAGGTTTCCTTTCCCTGCACGTTTCCAATCGATATTCTCTCAGTCAGTTTCAACTGATGGCGTTGGGTAAGATTATGATATAACAAGTTGAGTGTTATCTTCAGGTTTCACCATAACATCATGTTCTGCTTAAAGTGTCAGATATCACCAGAATAAGAACTTACATTGAACAATAAAATCCACGTCTGTTTCTTATTGAATATTTTCATCTTGCGTTTCTATAAATACCCATAGAAACATGTAACTGAAGTAGCAGACCTGATCAACCGATTAAATTACATTCACATTCCAGTTTTTAAATACTAGTGCAAAATTTAAATTTTGTTTCCATTCTGCTCGCATATAAAATCATACATTGCCAGCTACACATAATTTTGTACAGCAAGGGACAAGGGAGGGTTACATGTTTGCTCATTTATACAGAAGCAAGTCACCTGTAACACAGATAGCTCTCAGCTGTTCATATATATCTGCTCCCATTGATTCACCACATTCTCTCACCACCTCTCCAGCACCTGCGCGCTTGGCGATAATTAGTTGGTAGTTCACTGGTATAAACTGGCATAACTCCACTCTAAACCAATGTAATCTCGTTCATGCCTAGCATTGTACGCACAGCAACATGCACACTGCCCGATTGCCCTCGCCGATAAATAGACTGTCAGTGCCTGCAATTCACTCTCATAGTCCGGTGTAGTGCTGCTGTGGCGATTGCTGGTGCTCCGCCTCTCTGCCTCCGTTCCCAGGACGCTGACGACCTATGTTGAACTTGCGGCTAGCGGTTACTCGTGTTTTCGGCGCTGGTGCCAATGGCTCACTGTCATGAGAAAAATCAGATGTAATCGTCATCAATTTCGACTTAATCATCAATTGTCAATAGTTGCTTCGAGCATCGAACACCCACTAGAAAATGAACGATCAGCCAACTACGTTTCAACACAATGCTTTGTATTAGGTTATTCTTGTAACCAGTACAATTATAACTCTTGTTATGCCATAGCAAGAAACTCGAAATCTCAAAATATGCCCAACGTATGAAATGACAGCATCAACAGCAAAAACGTCTGAGAAAGTCCTACCCAAAAAATGGCCACATATTGGTGAGAGTCTCTTTGCTGGGGCTGGCTGCAAGCTCAGCTGTGGTCTGCAGCACCATATTCACTAGACATCTCAGGTAGTGTTGCAGGCGCCTACGCCGCTCCTCCACAAACTTCACCTCCTTTGGTAGAAAGAACCATGTACACACGTCAGCTATTCCTACTGATATGTTGATCTGATGAACAGCAGCTCTAATCACGTAACATTTACAAATCAAATGACGTCACATTTATTAGCAACCATCTTCGCTCCCGAGGAGCTAGTAGCTTACATTTAATCACACGCCGTGCTTCTGGGTGAAGTCATGAAGTACGCACCTTGTTTCCCAGAGCTTTCTTCGGTGGAAAATCAAAAGTATTCACTGACTGATACATCTTCTTCACTTTGGAGTGGAGCTCATAAAACTGAGCATAACGTCGATAAATGTTCCATTCCTCGTCTCGGATGCGAACGTAAACCTATACCCATAACAAGCAATAAAGACAAGCCTTGAGCTCAAGCCGCCACCGATTACTGGTGCAATAAAACACAAGGAATTATTTGATAAATACACGCACTACGCAGTTTCTCTTCACACAAGCAAATGACAGCCAACCACACCTTGATGGGGGGAGGCAAAAGGAATGACTGACGTCAGCAGCAGTTACATGCGCTCCCCTACTTACAAACGTTCAAGTTTACGAACTTTCAGAGATACGAACAAATCTGTCTGCATATACAACCTTAATAAAGGTCCTTTAAAGCCATTCCCAGTCTCTGCTCCTCAGACTTTAAGTAATACTGTTTAAGGCTGGTAAAATATACTGTCGAGTATTATTGGGGGTATAGCTGTACTGTACAAACATTTTTTTACAATGCTGTGTACAGTATTCAGTATTTATAAGCGTAATGTTGGACTTCCGAACATTTCGACTTACGAACCAACCCCAAGAACCTATCCTGTTCGTAAGTAGGGGCGCTCCTGTATATCTAAATAGTCGTATATTTCCCCACCTGGTAAACGTGATGTGCATCAGAACCTTTGCCGCGCAGAAAAGCAGACGGGATCCAGATGTTGATGAGCGCGCGAGCAGACGCTGTCATGGATGAGGAATCATAGTCAGACGTGATACTCAGGTCATCATCAGATGTCTGCGGTTCTGCCAGCTGTGGAATATTAAATAGTTACACCAACATCGGGAAAACCATTACAAGCTTAATCAAGCTTAAGCAATCTTAACAGTCTTATTACCATGTAATTACCATCACGCGTACTAGCCGCCCGCAAAAATAAAAAATATCTGGCTTGTCGTATGTAGATTACAACATTAACATGTCATATTTATGAGGGTGGCACACAAGATTCTTGCTATATTTCAATGTAGAAAACTAGAGGAAATTGCATTGTTTATTTATTAATTATTATTGAAATTATTTATTGCATACTAACAGGCCCCCTGAGGTCAACCAGCTCCTCCCTGAGTCTACGCAACTGGTAATCCTTATGCTGCAGCTGCTTGTGCAAGTGTTCGTTAAACTCCATCAACTCTCCATGCATTTCTGCCACCTAATGGAGTAAAAAGATGTGTCTGAAAGCCACAATCATGCGAAAATTGGCATGCAAAAGAATAGCTTCTGTAGTAAACATAAGCAAGTACAGACGTTCAACAGCAAACGTACAGATTTAGTTTCTGCTCAGTAAAAACTAACATAGAGTTTCTCATAGTTCCGTACTCATGAGTAGTCTGAATTATAGAAATGAACAATAACGAAACTAAAATGAATTTGAATAATTTTGAAATAAATTATTAAAATGCACATTTAGACGTTCATCCGTCGATATGCACACCTAGTTACTCACCAGTTCCCAAGCACTTTATTCATATTCTACACAAAATGTTCACTGACCTGTATAAGCTTTTGTTCATATTCGCGAGCCTCAGTGCTGTAATCACGTTGCAGTCTGGGTTCAGGAATAGCTGGCTCAATGTTCCCAACTAGATCCTTAAATGCTGTATCCAACAAAAGAAAATACCATTTGATGATGCAAATAACAACTTTTACCAGTTGTGCTGAGACAGTTACAGCAACTTTTTTTTTGATGCGCCATGCTAAATTGATTGCCACCAAGTCTGCCATAGCTAAACACTGGATCACACTGTACTGATAGCTGAAATAGGATGTCCCTAAACACTGTTGACAAAATATCGTGTCATGTTATAACAAAACAGTAGCAAAAGTGTCTTCTGGTCATGATATATGATCGTTGTTGCCTCCTGTATTACCTTGGAAGTTTAAGTGTAAAAACATTGCTCATGGCGATGCGTAGCTCAACAAGTTTAGGAGCAATAAAGGAGCTCCTTCTAAACATAAAGGAACACACTTCAACTGACCCTGACTCAATTTCAGCTAAAGTCCTGAAACAATATGCACCTGAGCCTGCACAAACCATTGCTCTTCTCTTTAAGTTGTGCTTAAGCTGGGTATTTCACTGAGCAATGGAAGAATGCACCAGTGATAGCAGTTCACAAGAAGAAATCCAAATTATACCCTCTGAATCACTGATCAATTTCGTTACTGGGATCCTGAGTGGATGTATGCATCATCAACCGCCCCTAGTCAGCTTGACACCATCCAACAAAGGGAATGCAAAATTATTGGTCGCCAGATCTCCAGTATGTTGCCAAAATAAAACCTCTGATCATCTTTACCTGAGGGAAAAGTTGATATAATGAGTGGTCCTAGACATAAATAGAAACAGTGGACTGCGACGATGGGAAGGCAGTAACTGGATATCAGCTCAACAAGTTTAGTTTAAAATGTGTTGGATTGCGATGTTGCAGGGAGGGATAGAGTAGAGTAGATAGATTACCTTCACTAGCCTTGGCACCATCCCTCTTCAGCATCTGAACTGCACCAACATACTTCTTCAACTGTTGCTTCAACAACTCGTTCTCTCTGTAGGTAATAGCAATAAAAGACAAATTGGAACATGGACTCTGGACCGAATGATTCATACAAAAACACATCGTAAACAAATTTAGATAAAAAACTAGGAGACGATTGGATTTCCACTGGAGCGTTTATCATACCTCAATGCACCATAACTAAACAATACATTTTTTTCTACAGGACCGAAGAGCACAATATTCATACAATTTAGGGCCACAATTAAGTTTGCATATCAAGCAATACTGCCGATTCCATTGCTTTACCTGGTAAGTGCTTTAATCTTAGCATCTGTTTTCTCCTCTTTCTCCAAGAACTTGCGTTTGATCTCTTCAATTTCTACCCGGAGTGCAGAGGCCGTCTCCATTTCAGCCTCTAGCAGGTGGCGTATAGATCTGTTCTGCTCATCCACCTCCTCCTTGCGTAGCATCATGGCTACTAGTGCCTGCCTTAAATCAGCTATAGGAGAGAAACCCACATTCACAATTTATTCATTCATTTGAAATGAAAACAAGCTAAACAAGTGCCGCAGTGCGACAGGGCTCATCTGGTGTCTGGTGTTCTGCTGATAAATTCATTTGTGCATAGCAAGACGTCTTATACATAAGTCTTCTTTATTCTTTTGAGCTGTTCGTACGCCAAATTGAACAAAATAATCGCGCACACTTTCCGCACGAGCCAGCAGCATTTCCTAATCTCTATGCATTGCAGACCATGTGCATTGGGCAGTTGGCAGGCAACATTATGATTCAGAAGACGTGCCAGCCATGGCTGCCTCGTGCTTTTTTTGGCCTACCCACACGACCATTCAGCTGATTTCAGCCTATCAGGTGATCTATGCAGACAGACTCGCTTTAGAAAATCAATAATGATTAAAGAGCGTAAACCTTTGTTCAAACATAACATTTTAGCCTTTGCAAATTAAAGCCTGTGCAACTGTAACCTCACATTCACAGAGATGGGCTTCTAAATTAAAGTCAAAAGGCAGTTCAAAGTCCATTTGTTAATCATCCCAAGCAAAATCAATGGTAACCTCTTCCTCTTGTAGGGTCAAAAGGTTATCGACACTTTACTCTTCGGCTTGCTCAGCGAAAAATACATTTCACGGGTCCTTGTCAATAAAGCCCATAAAAATTGTAGGTCACCGCTTTCTAACACAAAGAATTTTTCCATCCTCGGTCAGACCATGTCCTCAGAAAATGTTCTAAATTCTGCCTTTGCCCCATTGACCTTTGACCTTGTGACCTGCCAATTCGGCAGCATGAGTATGGCTTTTCCTATCCATTGTGCCTAACTACACCGATATCACGAGCCTAGTCGCAGCGTTAGATTGTGTGCACAATTCTGCATTTCCTCGTATCCTTAAGTTAAGGAGGGAATTGTCCCCCTTCTTTACAACGTCTTAGACCATTTGACCTTCGACCACCAGCTTCGACATCCCAAACTCGTTTTCGGACTCCCCCCCCCCCCAACGTCCCGAATATTTATCGTCGACCGTACGTCGAGCGGTGGTTTTAAAGATTTGTGGCCACAGATTGAAACGGACGAACGAATCGAACGGACGCACGACAAGTCATGCGATTTCTAACACAATTGCATGCACCTGACATCTCAGAATGAGCTATACAAGACCGCAGAGCGGCCTGGAGCTCATCTGGGTCTTTTTGCTCAGGTTATATACTTCAGTCGTGCGTAGTGACACATTTGGTAGGCGCAATTGCAGAAACCAGTTGCGTGACCACATCATTGTTAGTGACACCTCACTATCTGCCCCCCAATGCGATTCTTGGTTTATTTTATTAAATGATACTGCTTTCACTTCGAATTGTGTCATAGATTCCAGCTATGCCTATTTTTATCTATCTATATAGAAGATTCTCAACCATATGAGCATGGATCTGCCAAGTTAATTAGGACGGGCGCGCCAGCCACATTTACGGCGGGAGTCCCTTCTTCTCCTGCCAGGCCAACTTAACTCCCTCCGCACTGGCGTCCCACCTCACCTCCCCCGCCTCGCCACTTTCCACCCTCGTTGCCTCTCGGGTTTGCCACTCGTCTCAGATGATTTTATCCCACTACGGTTCACCCTTCTATCTTTCGCACACCCTCCCAGTGCTTTACCCTGAGCATGAACATTTGAGCCAGGGCACCAGGCAGAGACGAACACGCGTTTGACCTAACGAGCCCCCGGCTGTTCCTTCCCCCTACGTTTTTCGACCGGTTTCCTTCCCCCTGCTCCACCGTTCCACCCCATTGCAGCAACATGCTCGCACAACCTAATTGGTTACCCTTTCCCGCTCGCATTTTACACAGCCGTTGATCCCCGTTTTCCCTGTCGGCGTCTGCAATTTAAACTACTCTACCCGCTCGTCTTAATATCTTCTTAGAACTCTCTCTCTCTCTAATTATAATTAAAAATTAAAAAAGCGCCCAGCGATGATGGCCTTTCACTGCCCCTTAAATAATGCTTTCTTCTGAATGCCCCCCTCGGAGTGACCACTTCTCATAGTATATATCTAAATATACCCTAGTGTTCCCTCTAAATGATTCTATGTAAACAGCTTATGTTGCGCACACTGGTAAATGATACCACTGCCATAGCTACAGATAGTACGTGTTAAAGATTCAGATGACAGAGTGGCCGCATAGCGAAACAGCGGCTACCATCTAACGTCATACTGCGGTGACAGTCTGTGGGGAGTGGTGGATTCTAGGTAAACCCTGTTAGTCCCAAATGTGTTACACATACAACCGCGAAATAGTGACACGCACAGAATGGCTATCGAGGAACCTCTCAAAAGGAGACAGTCGATGATCAGTTATGAAAGTGTCCACAATTATCACGAAGATGGCGCGTACACTTTAAGTGCTTCAGATTAAAGATGGAAGCTCCATCATTCATAGTACTAACGTAAAGCGTATTTATGTGCATTAGAATACAGTAATATGTACCGTCAATTGCGGAGTTCCATTTACCGTAGAGCGCAAAGCCTCACAGGCTGCAATCAGAGAGCTGCCACCTTGCAACCAAATTTAATCGCACCAGTGAGTACAAAACTTGCCGAACGCGAGACACAGTGCTCACTCGAATGACAGCTGAGCAGCAGCCAGCTGGGCAGTGGTGGCATATGGCGTGATTGAGCGTATACAGTGCTAACATACTGAAGTATCTAGACGAGAGAGAGGACCAAGTAGTTGAAGATGAGTAACGAATTAAGACATAACCATCGTTGTAACAAATGTTAGGGGCAGTTATATTTGGAATAAGGTCACTGTGACGAAGGAGTTGGAGCCTGCATGACATCCAGAGCATCGTAAATGATTCTACCTAGCAAACCGGCAGTCAAATTTCTGCTAACAGACAGTCAACAAATCCATGTTTAATCCCTCCTCTGAGGTACGGGGGAGGGGGAGGTAAAGGGAGGGGTGGGAAGAAGAGTGGAGGGGAAGGGGTGGAGGAAGGGAAGGGAGGTGGGGAGGGTATGGAATGCTACTAAGCGAATAAGCATTCCAGTCCTTTGGTGACAGCAACAAATTCACCCTATGTTTGAACCATCTCCTCTTGAGGGTAGCAAAAGGGTTTATCGCGACACTTCTCTCGCATGTCCAGCAGAATGGACATTCATGGTCCTTTCAATAAAGCATAAAAAGCTAGGTCACCGCTTGAAACAAAAAAGTTTTTCAATCGTCTCCCGGTCAAGACATGTCGCTCAGAAAATGCTAAAATCTGCGCCTTGGTCCCATTGACGCTGTTGATCCTGTGACCTCCGAGCAATTTCGGCACAGTGATGGCTTTTCTACATGATGCTTTAACACCGGACTATCCACGAGCGCGAGTCCGATGCCGTTTAGAATTTGTGCGCGGCGGAGGCGAGATTCGCTGCATTCGCGCGCTATACCTTAAGTAAGGCATGAAGTGTGTTCCCCCTCTTGATGTGATACACACTTCGAGCCTTTTGACCGTGGGTGTACTCCAAACAGCTTCCGACATCCAAACTCGTTGTTGACGAATAAATCCCCGCCACGACAAACGAATTATCTGACGCGTACGGAGAGCGAGGGTTAGAGATAATGTTCTGCCCAACTGTTGACAGCACAGGCGGACGCACGACGACGATCAAAGCGATTCTACAAGCTTGCATCTGACAATGTCAGGATGAAGCTAAAAAGTAAATATTATAATTATAAATGATGGTACTAGTTATTATTGTATTCGTTATAAGCTCAGAAAGTGTAAGCATGAGAATAAAAATCTAAATAAACTAGCCTATAGTGACCGAGCAGATGGGGCGCGGTGCCAATGTGGTATCAATGAATCAAGAGGAGATGCACGGTTCCTGAAATCGCACAGTAGGTTACAGCTAAAATCCAAGTAAGTAATAGTCAGCGGCAGTTGCTCAGCTGTGAGTTAACAGGTGCAATTGGCAGTTGCAGGCACGAATTATGATAAGATAGCTATCGCCAGCCATGGGGCTGGCCTGTGTTTTTGCTCGTGAGAATTCACTGATTTCATCATTCGCCTTCAGGCCTAATGCAGGGTGCCTATAGACAGACTGGCTTTAGAAAATCATATGATATTAATGAGCGTAAACCCTTGTTCAACGTAAACATTTGGCCTTTGCAATAAACTGTGCAACTGTTAGCTCACATTGTACACAGGTTATGGGCTCTCAATAATCAGCAAATAAGCATGTTATTAGTCCTTTGTTAAACAGTCAACAAATCATGTTTAAACCCTCCTCTTTGAGGCAACAGGTTAGTCGCGACACTTACTCTTCGCATATGTCAGCGAGGAATGCCAACCGACTATTCACTCGAGCCTAAGTCAAAAGCCGTTTAGAATTGTGGACCTGCAATTCTAAGGCATTTCTCCATATACTTAAGTTAAAGGAGTGAAGTGTTCCGACCCTTCTTTTACACCTCTTGACCTTTAAATTAGACCCCAGCTTCGACTATCTCCAGAACTCGTTTGACTGATCCTCCCCAAAACGACCGAATATCGTGACCGTTACGTCGAGCGAACTTAAAGATTTTGTGCCCACTGTTGATCGGATCGACGCGACCGACGCACACGACGGACGGACCAAGTCGATATACAAGCTGACATCTGACTATGTCAGATGAGCTAAAAATACTGGATCACTAGATCACAGATGTTTACATCAACATGTGATTATTCAACAAATATATAGATAGAATAAATACAAATAACAATGGCAGTGGAATTGTGGGATAGCATACCAGGTGACATTGCTTCCTGGGAGATCGACGGTGGATGAACAGCATCTGCTCTGGAGCTAGCGGCGTCACTACTGCAGCAGAGAAACAAACAGGCGTACTTCCATTGTAAGCCACTACTCAGAAATATTGCAAATAGTGCAAATTATTACACTTATGCAGTTTAACCCTTCTAAGTTCCTAGCATTCATAAAACAAATCGAACAATTTTCTTTGACAAATGCAATTTTTTGTCGTTTCGTTATTCTTTAACAGTTTACTTGAAAAATGCCAAGCAACATAATTCTGTTTGAAACTGGAAACTTGCAACGGCTTTAAAGTACAATCCAGTTGCTTAAAGTTATCATAGCTAATCATAACAACTCTGAATTATACATGCATAACTACATGCTGGCATACACTTACCTAACAGAGAGGCCCAGCTGGGCCAGCGATATAGCATAGGCTGCCTGCGCAGTATCATGCCCAAAATCTAGGGAAGCAATGTCAACCGAGTCCGTTTCTATAGAATAGAGATCAATTGTTAACATTGTTAATCCACCCCACGATAACATAATGTAACATGATGACAAAAGGTGACATCCCAAGCACTTGTAAAGGATATAAGAGATATAGTTGTTCACATATAAATGCAGTGTTATTCAGCATCTTTGATAGCATAATGTATTGTGTAGGTGTAAGGCAATACCAGATTGGCACTCATCGGGCGGAATAGGATAGAGGTCTCCCACAGACATGTCATTAACTGGGGTCAGCGTACACGTGGTGGAGGGGCTAACTCGCACACCTTCCACAGATTGTCTGAAATAAGAATATTGAGTAAAATACAAATTGGAAAATGATCCATCCATTAACCTAACACCTCTGCAATATTCTGCACATTGTCACTCACATATTCTGGGCCAGTACTGCCTAAGTGCACGCACGGCGTCTAGAATGAACAAGTCAGCAGGGCATGTGAACTTTGCCACCTTAACATTAATTTCATATGACTTTAGTATAGTTTTTGGTGTTGTTTTCTCTAGTTTCCTCTAATCAAGCTTCTAATCCTCCCTCACATTAGAAGTCCCTAAGATGCTGAATGAAGAAGAATAAGACGGCTGTTCGATGTGGTGGCATGCAAACATTTGCAAATATGCCACAACATCAGGAAGAAGATCTGCTAAGTGCAGGGACCACTGCTCCTACCTATTCTCAGGACTGACACCGGCAGATGCCGCAACCCGCTCTAGGCTCTTGTTTACGATAGTAGCCTGCTGTTTTGCGCCCGTGTGTTGTGCGTGTCTTTGTGTCGATCTATCCGACACGTTTGTTTCCTTCGTCATTGCGATTTCTCTGCCGACGAGCAGTGACTGCGTGGAGGAAGAAATGGCAACAACGCCTGGCACCAAGTCGGCCGTGGAAAGTTGTCGCTCCTCGTCGCCAAGCGAAGCATCGGGAGAAGGGCGTACGCCTGCGTCGTGAGAACTCGGATCGCTTTGTGCAGGCTCGCTGCAGACGATGTGTGCTGCTGCAGCTGTGCTCGCCGTCGCATCAGCCATCTCACCCATAACGGCGGCTCCCTCGAGTCTGTCACCCTCGTCGCGCGCCCCTACCTCGTCAGCTACAACATGCTCGGTGACAGGATCATTCGGAATGCCAATTGCGTTTATCACAGTTTGCAGTTCGATTGTTCCTGAAGTGGCTGGAGACTGCAGTGCTGCCGCAGCATCTGCGAGAGGCGAGGCAATGTTCGTGAGTGCCAGCGACAGTTTTCTGGGGACGCCCTCTTGCGAGGCCAACGTGTGCAGGTTCGGATCCGACTGGTGAGACGGCAGGACCGTGGTAGGATTGCTCGCTAGTAGATTACTGTCTGAAGCATGTGATGAAAGCCCTGGCTTATCACGAATTGAGAGAGCATGCGCGGGTTCCAGAGACATGTTCGGTTGACTATTGCAGAGTGCACTGGTCACTGAAGGTGTGTTTGGCTCAATGGTCACCATGCCAACCCTCGTCACTGGAGGCGTTGTGGGTGGAGAGAAGACGTATGTCTGATACAGCGATCTGGAGAATACACAGAAACGGCAATTAGGTTTGGCCGTGTCATGACGAGCTATTAACTACAACGTGAAGTGTTTGTAACTGCGCATTGGCTCGTACTTGGTCTATAGTAGACTTACCTAGGGCTCGTCACTGAAGAACTTGTGACTGAAGTTGACGAGGTGTCATCGTCATCAAACGACACAATTTTTTTTGGAACCTTTTTCTTCTTTCTTCTTTCCTTCTTGGGATCTGCATAAAGAAAAAGGCAACATCACCAGCTTCACTTACATATAGATATACACGTGCATATAACATATATATATAGATCTGAGATATATATAAATATGGTTGTAACTGTTCGTAAATTTGTCCAAGTTCTGTAAATATTCCATAATTCTCACTTCATGATGTAATATGCTGTAATGTTTAGATAGCCATGGTGCACTACTGTGCACCCACATAGAAACAAGAAAACAAAATTGGGAAATTTGAGTTTGATGTGCGAGTTGTAGGACAATACCTACTTCAGGACATTTGCAACGTTGGGATTGAAACGAATAGTGTTATAAACAGATTCGATTTTCACACAAATTTTATGTTCACACTAGCAGAAAATTGAATGAACAACCAACTATCCAGTTGACAAATGAAGGTTAACAAGGGCAATGGTGTCCATTGTTTGTCTGATTCATCAATGGTTTCATAAATAACAAATTCCGATATAAAAGACAATGAACACATCAAGCTATTGAAGATTAGTTCAGCATTAATAAACCTAGATAGATCTATTGGCAGTGATTGACACACCAGTTGAACCTTAACTCGCACGCTGACACATAAACTCATAACCTACCACTAGGTACAACTGCCATGACTGCCTTTGGTTCAGGACTAAATGGGGGTGGGTGTGAGATAGCTGGGCGTTGTCTGTCCATGGAGGAGAGTGGCAAGGGCTGTTGATTACCATTCAGATCCTCATTATCGATGTTGATTGCAAACAGAATTGAGCCAAGACCTGTGAAATGCATATTTTGTTGAAAGTACAACAGACAATCTATTGACAAGGCCAATGCCGTTAGGTCCGACCTCCCAATGTCATTTCAGATTGCCAGTATCAATCAATAAATCAATAGCAACACAATGTCGAATATCAATACCATACGTCAAGCCGTTTACGTTTGTGCCACTATTGTTGACGCCCCACGAACGGCTGCCAGCAGCATCGTTTGAGCTCATTCCGAGGGATAGCTTAGATTAGCTAAAAACACGAGGTGTTATCGAGCCAATACTTGTAATCTCACCTGCTGCCATAACAGGAAGCATGCTGCTCCTTTCTTGATCTGCCACTAATGCCCAGTCTTCATAGAAGTGACTGAAATAGTACATGAATATATTTATACATATAAATGGTATATGTTAATGACTACCTAGTTGACACGATATGAAGACAGACTGAGCTATATCTGACTGAGCTTGGCTCCAACATAGATTAATAAATGGTCAATGTCGATGAGGTTACCTCACTAGCGCCGTGTCGTTCACCATAAGGTGCATGTAGCGTTCCAGTGAGTGTTCATTGAGGGCTGATCTCAACCAGGCCCTGGCTCTTCCTGAGTCAGTCGTAACATGCTTGAGCACCATGTACCTGCAAACAAGTGACTACATTGAGCCTTTCCACATGCACCCAGTACGCAGTAACACAAACTGATTGACAGACTAACAACATGAACCCATGGCGGATAAAAATTAGGAAGAGGACAATTCGTTCCATAGATGGTGAAAAATAGTGATAAACATACTGGACAGCATGGCACAACAGACATAGCAGACACCAACAATACAGCTGACAACACAGTAAATACACAGCAAAAAAACAAAAACAAACAATACAACAGACAACACAACAGGGCCGCGTTTCACTAAAGGTTTTCAGTTTGCTATTTAGTGGAGAACTTTCAGTGGCGACATCACTATGGGCCAAATTGGTATTTAAATTCTTTGCTAAAAGCTGGGGACATGATTATCACTAACTCTGTTTTTTCGTATAGTCTGGGGTGCAATAGCTGGGGATATTATAGCAATTTGGGCCACCACATTTAACAGCAATTTTAAGTGAACAGCCGTGCTGAGCGGCAGCAGTGGTAATCTCTTCCACGCTGCTCATTTAATCCGCATTTTTTATGGCAATATAGGCAATTCATGATGCGGCAATCAATGCTGTTGGTGACAGGTCACCGGCAGGTATATATAGCAGTGCTTATGACACAGCATTTCTTTTCTCAGTGGAGAAATTCTCATGGTTTCTATGAACAGGTTGCGACTAACATAGGTTTGTCACCCCCTTCTCGCTCTCCCCACCCTCTCTCTCTCTCTCTCTCTCTCTCTCTCTCTCTCTCTCTCTCTCTCTCTCTCTCTCTCTCTCTCTCTCTCTCTCTCTCTCTATCGCTGCGTGCTTGTGTGTGAGTGCATGTGCGTGTGTGTGCATGCCTTACACATAATACATATATAATTTTATACTGCTGATTATAGTAGCTCATTGATAGTAAAGCTCACCTCTCCAACTCATGCTTGCTGAGAAATTCCCTGACACAATGCCAAAACAATGGCTCATTGTCTATGGTAATACCAGCGACTTTACTGATGCCTGTGACTTGTCTGAAAAGGTGTGGTGAAAGCAAAATATGTACAGGTCATATAAAGATGTGACAGCATCTCAACTTACGTGGGGTTGAATGTGCTAGGCACGCCACAAGAGTGACTTGCTACCAATCACTATAATGTGCAGCACAACCACTATCACTGAAGCTTACACACCTGCACCGTATTTGAACTGCAATTATTTCATTTTTTGCAGAATTTATCAAATGCTACTTGTATAAAAAATAAGTTACCTTAAAGCTGAAAAGGCTTTGTTGGTCTGTCTCAGCCCATGTTGTAACACACACTCAAACTGGGCACAGAGGCAGGACACACGACTGTCCCCATCTGTAGCCAGTTCTGCCCGGCCACCAAATCTCACCTGGCACTAGAAAAGAAAGATTACAAAGAAATGCGCCATAATAATTAATTTGCTATAACTTATTTGCTACATCTCAGCCACCTAATTCTGAGAGAGCTTTAACAGGGAAATATTGTGAACCATATTCAAAATAAGGTTGTTATGATACAGCTAATGACTGTGTAAATCAACATTTAGGTTCAGACATCAAGTCTGAGCAAATTTAGGTTCAGACTCATGTTAATCTACAGGGCTACTTGTTAGCACGCCATTTGCGTAAGGCAAAAGAAACAGTACTCAAGAATAATATGAGTATATAACAGAAATACGCGAATAGATATTCACTTTCTGATTCATCATACCATAAATTGCAAACTGGAGTACCTTTTTACATTTCAACCCCCACCCCATGGCAATTGTTTGGGATAAGGTACTCGCAAACCACCGAAGCTCTCTTCACTTTTCCAATTCCTAGGCTTTTGGCTCTTTGCCTCCCACCACCCAGAGTTCTATAAGAATAGTCGCACTGAAGACCATTCTGTGTAGCAGTTTAATGGCGTTATACATGAAATGTTCAGTCAGATGGGTCATCTAGTATATAGTACCACTAGTTGTAGTGGCACTAGCAGCATCAGCTCACATGTTCGTTTATGAGTATTTCAGCTACCTGTTTTACGGCATCAAGGAGTCGGGACAGGAGTTGCTGCCTATCGGCAGATGACTGCTCAGGATCTGCCCCTGCAATACACAATATGGATCAATAAATGCAATGTAAGTATCATGTTCAGCATGTTTGTAAAGGCATACAGTTTGTAATGAATCACTTGGCAACGAGAGCCACTTGGGCCAGACTAATGATAACAAGTGCCGCAGAGCGACAGCACTCAACTGACGTGTACTGTAGCCGGGTATTCTTCTGATAAACTCACTGGCAACCGAATCAAGTGCGCCCTCCCGCCACCGCGTTCGCACTCAGAGCATATACCTAGGATACTACTAATACAGATCTAAAATCTATGATAGCTAGGCTTTGCTATACCGGTAGTACAGTAATAAAGATACAGCTGTGTAACTTTAATGACTTCGCTATATTAACATGTTATCATGGATATGCGTCGAGCGCGAGCGTAGTGGTGGTGGTGGGGGGAGAGTGGGGGAGGGGGCTCTAATAGCAAAAGCAGTTGCCGCGAGATGGCGCGTGCAAGTGTCATCAATAATCAAAGATGGCATCACCCTTCGTGCGTGATAACCTCACTCCATTGAGTTGCTGAAATCCTACCGGCTAAAATCCAAGTATATTCAGGCAGGCAAGAATTTCGCTCAGCTGTGAGTTAACACATCTGCATTGCAGGTTGCCAGGCAATAATTATGATTAGAATAGTGGCAGTTCACTCCCATGCATGCGTAATGGGCTGCCCCCATGTTTTTGCCTACCCACGCGAGCATTCAGGGTTCATTCCAGTGTGCTAATACAGGGTGCTACTCAGGGTGCTAATACAGACTGCTTTAGAAAATAATATGATTTAAGGAGCGTAAACCTTGTTCAACAAACATTTGCCTTTGCAATTGAACTGTGCAACTGTAGCCTCACATCAACAATAGCAAAAGCAGTTCAGTCCTTTGTTAACAGTCAACAAATCCATGTTTAACCAGGCTTTCAGATTTGAAAAGTACAGGAGGACTACTAATGACTCTTAAGGGTGTGATTTTTTAATGGAGCTCTCCATCATGCCTCTTAAGGGTGTGATTATGGAGCGTGAAAAGTCCCCCTATGGTGTTCTAGGGGAGGCATGATGAA